CATCTGTGCAGGAAACTGCAAGCAGAGTACGACCGCCTGAAGAAGACGCACGACAGAAAGGGTCTTTCCCCACTGCCATCGCCCCCGGAGATGCTACCAGTGTCACCACAGTGCACACGTGATGCTGAGCTTATCGCTGAGGCTAAGCTGCTACGGCAACATAAAGGCCGTCTAGAGGCCCGGATGCAGATACTGGAGGACCACAACAAACAGCTGGAGTCCCAGCTTCACAGACTGAGACAGCTCCTGGAGCAGGTATGCACACACCTGTGCTGCTGTGAGGGGTGGGGCTCACCTGGGAGTAATCAGGGTATCATATTTCAGCCACCAGGTTGCATCCAAGCAGTTGCCTTCTAGTTATGCTTTGCAAAGAGCGCCCATAAAAACATCGCTGCCGCCACTGTGGGCGTCTACTGCGCCACAAGTGCTCATCAAGTTTGATCTGAACAAGCCGGTGAGAGTGTGCGACATCTGCTTTGTGTCAGAACGCTGTGGTATGGATGTCTTTCGACCTCTGGCAATTATTCAAGCACGCCAGGCGAAGAGACATCAGTAGCAGGACATGTTAGCAAGAGAATCGCAGACATTTACGGACCAGTATCTCTATACTGTTTATGAAAACTATTCATCTTTGTGTTTGTGTTTTTGGAGTGGCGTCTATCATCCAAACGGTTTCGGTCTGACCAGACTGTATCCTCGCAGTATTTCACAGGCTCGTCTAAATGTTGTTTAGCAAACATTAAACATGCTTTTTCTTTGGACTCCTGCATCTTTAGACCTTCATCCAGCTGATGGCTTTCTGGGGCAAATGAATAAAATAAATTAAAATCAATCATTTTGAGACCCGAACTCTTTACCTGAGGGGATACTGTACAGTTGTTGACTTTGGATCTCTTATCTTGTATATCGTATTGTCTACTTGCTGTTTATTGAGGTTTTCTTGCTGATAGTTTGACTGATTTATGGTCTGATTCATAAACTTTTTGTTTTGTGAATACCATCGTTTTACCATTTCCTGTGAGTATAGTGTATTTCTTTTTTGTAATCAGGGTTTTTTCTTTCCCTCCTTATGCTGCGTTTAAGCTCTATTAATCTTGATTGTTCTGCTTACCTTTCATATGCATTTTTTTATTGTTTGGCTTCTCACCAGTTTGAACAATGCTTGAAAGAGGAGCATGATTGGATAAATCAATAGAACCAGTGATACCACTGGATATTCTGTGGCGCTCTCCTTTTAGCACAAAGAAATAGGGTAAGCGGTCAGGGGTAGGGTTGCCAAGTCCAAGAAGACCATTAAAAGGATCGATGCTTTCAGTAAATTTAAAGTTTCCAGCACGGTGGTTAGCACCATTGCCTCACAGCAAGAAGGTCCTGAGTTCAGTTCCACCATCAGGTCTTTCTGTGTGGAGTTTGCATGTTCTCCCCGTGTTTGCGTGGGTTCTCTCCAGGTACTCCGGCTTCCTCCCACCGTCCAAAGACATGCAGCTTGTGGGGATAGGTTAATTGGATAATCCAAATTGTCCATAGGAGTGAATGTGAGCATGAATGGTTGTCTGTGTCTGTGTGTTGGCCCTGCGACAGACTGGCGACCTGTCCAGGGTGGACCCCGCCTCTCGCCCTATGACAGCTGGGATTTAAACATAAAGTCAGTGCTTAAGTAGGATGAGTGAGATGTTGAGACAAAAGGACAATCTCTCACTTTTGGATGTCTGCTAATTTCTTCCATACAGTGAGCTGTTTTTTAATTCAATTCTGAAAGCGCTTACTGTCTCACATTCACACAGTATCTTACCCAAGGATATTTGGCATATCTCTACATTTCCAAGTGGAAATCCAAATCTTCTTGATTCCATACTCTAACACGGCAAAAATGAGCAGCGAAAAAGCCAAAAAACACAAACCCAATTTGCAGGTTCACAGTTTGGGGAGCGGATAATCCTTCTGGCATCTCTGCTGGAATTTTTTAACTGAACATCTCATGCCTGATCTTTTCATCTCGCAGTAGATGAAGGAAGAACCTGTATTTCTTCTTCACCTAACTTTTATATCTGGTTTTTCTGGGCGTCACATCTTCTGAGAGGCATCTGGCCACACCCACTGAGACATCCAATCACGTTGTTGCGCTGAATTGCAAAGACACGAAGTTGAACGCAATAGATGTTAACCCATCTGTTCCCTTCTGGTCAGCTGACTTAGTCTGCAGCTTTCCTTTGAAGTTCAGGAAACTCTGGTTTCTTCTTTTCTCTGCTTCAGAAGCTCAATCTTCTTCCACTCTCTTTGTTTTTATTTCTTCTTTACTTGTTTGGATCTAATCACCCTTTTCTTGATGAAACCCTCAGCAGATGAAGGTGTTTCTGAATATTTCTTATTGTTTGTATTTAGAAAAACTGAGGCCCACACATGTATGCAGCCTATTGTTAGTCCTTGTTAGGTAGTATTCCTAAAGATGTTTAGGAATACTACCTAACAAGGTAAAAGACAGTTAAACTTTACTGGATTTGATGAAGTGAGTTTAGACTATTCTTCAGTATCTGCTGATGATAAAATGCTCTTAAGCTGGGCGTCAATTCCAAGTAGCTCAAGATACTGATGGTCTCTGATTTTCATCAGTGAGCAAAGAGCTGAGAATAAGCAGGGTTACAGGGTTGTTGCTGTTGTTTTTATTATCTTTATCTCTTTATAGAAAAAACCCTACGTTACCTCAACATGCACTTTATTGTGTAAATATATCTGTATTTATGACTGACTCTAAACTCTGCACAACATTGTACAAACAGCAAATAAAAGATGCTGTCCTTGTATCATGTGTGCCTCAGACGGATTCCAAGGTAAACGGCACAGCTCTGTCCTCGCCATCCACCTCCTCTCAGCGCTCCGACTCCTCTCTCCCTCTGCTGCGTGTGGCTGCCAGCCAAACTACTGATACAATGGGTAAAAACACCCACACATCCCTTTATATTCTTTCATTTGCATCCACCCTTTGTGACGCATAGACGGTATAAATAGATTTCTAGTACCTGCAGAACATATGCTGCTTGGACATCGGTTTACATGAGACAACACACACGCTAAAGACTTGCATGTGTGTTTCATGGTGTGTGTGTGTGTGTGTGCGT